TTAAAATGGGTCTAAGAATTACCTCCTTAAAAATTAGCATGTGTTTAAGGAACACCCTGTATATTCTTTGATCGTTCCTCAATGTTCTGGGATGATCCGAAATGTTCCTCATGGGGCTGTAACCACCTAAGAGGAGTTTTTTGTCGATCCCATAGACTGCTTTTCCTTGAGGGGAAACGTCATCGCGTTTTTCTATTTGGTCTATCTACACGTCTTTACATGATTTCATGAATGCAATGGAATACAAACATCTATTGTTAGGCAAAGAACACAACATGATGATAGTGCTCAAGGCAAGACAGTAACTATCGATATATACTTTATTGACTGTGTGCAAAATGTTGCCAGAGAAATTAAAATTAAGTTGAGGTAAGTGACTTCTGTATTAATTGACATCAGGTTCAGTCGGTCATTTGCGATAATAAGACCAATCAAGTCCGTTTTTGCTTTGTTACTACTATGGAAAACCAGAGCTCATAAATGATAGAAATGATTCTGAGTTTTCCAATTACAGTATACTGTGTCACTCTATTGTGAAACTATCGTGACAGCTGTTTTGCTATATGAAAGATTCCTCAGGCTAGTTAAAGTTTTGTAAACTATTTAATGAAAATTTCACAATGAAGTGTGACTTGGATATATTATGGATTTTCATAAAATATCCCATCACATCCCATCACATATTTCGAAGTCTTCCAAAAAATATCACAAATGGTATAACAGAACGGACCTCTGTGACCATGACGTCTTCATCAGAATGAATCAGTGAGAGAAATTTTTATTGACGGTGATGAGAATGGGTGCAAATTCTGATAATGATTCTGAAATAGCTAGTTCTACGTAAATGATATCAAATTTCCAAGTATGGTTCACTTCTCAGTGGTTATCTAATTTCGTGCATATATTTCAATAGTGATTTTTATCCAAAATACAATGATCAAAATTTCAAATTGCCAGAATTTACCGTTATTAAGATACGCGATTTTGGAACAACACGTCTGTCGAAAACTAGTGTGACGTCACAAGATATGTGCGATTGTTGGTTCAGCGTCTGAACCACGTTATGAAGCAAAGCATTTAATTTTTGAAACTTGAATGAAGCTACGGTCAGTTTATGAAAGTTTCAAAGCAGACCATGTGATTGAAAACGTTTCTGAAGTTCAATTATTCGAATATAAATGTTTTGTATAAGTGAGAATTTCAAATAGTATTGAATAATAGTAATCTTCCAGAAAGTGTGCTGATGTTGTTGGACAAATCACTACGAATATTTGATTAACAACTCGAGAAAGAAAATCAATTTCAATATGAAACCTTATCTTTTGGAAAAATTAATTCTTCCACATTGAAAATATTTTTGGATGACTACTGATTTTTATAAAGAGTTTTTCATTGTATTCACTCATCAAATGTCTATTGCCTATGTATTGATACAAATATAGAAAGCAAAATAAAAATCTAATCTATATCGTTTAATTTGTCTTTAACTCAGCAGAAATTAATGCATGAAATATAATGAAAAGTAAGACTACTATTTATATGAATCATGTTTAATTTTTGGAAAATTTCAGAGAATGACAGAAACTATGTAATATATTGGAAAGGTGTTTTGATTTTCAAGTTAAAGTTTCCGAAAATAAATTGTTGCTATATATTTTTATAGCCAGTCAGTATAAACTCTATAAATTACAGGCGCCAAACGAACCAACTCGTCACATGATTTTCAAAATTCATACGAGATAACTCAAATCTATATCAAACTATCTGAAAAAATTTCTATTTACTCACTCTGGTAGCCAAGACGTAGTCCAACTCTACCAAACCGAAACTACTCAAGCTCATTGCTTCTGCGCTATTAATCATTATCATCTGCAATGCCATTCTGTTTTCTTTACTGAATTCGTTCCACTGACAGGAACATACCTTATTGTAGAAATTTGTTGACTGAAAGGTAATATCCTCAATAATATGAAAAAATCTAAATCCAACGTAGTTTTTCACATTTTAATATAAAAAACAAAGAATGGCATAATCAATGATGATAATAACAAGAATGCATTGATATAGTGACAGTACTGAAGCTTTACTAATCATACATAATCGAACTCGAATGGAAGATGTTGTTATTTTTGTTATTTGTATGTTGAAAAATCATTCCAAATAGCTGATAAGAATCAAAATACTTACCTCATTCTTTATATTTTGACCATAATGAAATAGAGTGAATCCATAGGCAAAACCAACTAGTGTTCCAATTATCAACATTATGATTGGAAATATTTTATGTTCCTGAAATTATTTTGACAAAATTATATTAACAAAAGTATATGTACAGTATTAATTCATATTATCAGTTGCAGCTCTCCAACTAATTCTCTGAAAAAATATTCAACAACTATTTTTCCGAACTCGTTTCATGTTGGATCTTTCAGAATCTACATTAAGATTGTATCTTTGAACTGGACATGATTAGAAAAATGTATGTATTTCAGTCTATTTTTCTTCGAACCCTCAAAGGTGTCAAGTATTTTTACTGATAGAGATGTATTAATGGTTGCTGATAACAGCATTTTGAGAAAGTTATCACATTTCTCAGAATGATTGTAGTTCAAATTGTGAGTTATAATGAACTAAATATAATTTATTTTCTTTCCTATGTATTTTACATATCATTTACCTCATGTTGTTCTCGTTTATTTGAGTATTTGTCATTCAGTACTAGTAAACTTGTTTTTGAGATCCTTTTCACGGGAGGTTTTTCAAAATAATTCATATTAGCGAATCCAAATCATTAGTCGTCTTCTTTATTTTTCCAAAAAAGTTTGGATTTGTTTTCAAATGATTAAAATAATTGTATTGACATTTCTGCGAAAATTCGATGGAAATGGCCGATACTTTATGAAATTCCATATCAAAACTGTCTAATAAGATTAGATAAGGTTTGAGAAGGTTTACGAAACCGCAACACATGTTTTCCTATAGAATAGCCTCGAATACTCCTTGAGAAATAAATCTATTGTGTATGGAAACACGTATCGCGGTTTGGTGAACATTTCATCGTGAAAATCAATGTCTGTTGTTCAAATTTCTTCATTATATCAACTCTCTTGTCCAACAACTCTCTTGTCTCAGTTGTTCGTGTCCATTTTACCTGTTTTGCAAATCCCCTGAAGAGCATTGCCACCAGGTCAAAATAATTATCGTAAGATTTACTGATGAGAAATTGTTATATTCCTACATTTCATTGATATAGACCTTTGAGCACTCGAAAAATATATGTGCTGCCATCTGATATAACAAACTGTCAGGTAAATGATAAGTGAATAAACGGTAACAAAATATGGATACAAAAATAAATTGGTTTGAAAATTGTTAGCACGCTCATAAAAAGAGCTAAAACATCATAACAAGATGTCGGTCTTATGATACACTGTTTGGAACCTCTTTGAAGATGATCACTTGGTAATTGAAACACGTGTCTAGGTGTTAAAAATAACGATTTGGTGTTGGGAAAAAACTTCAGTAATATTCAAGATGTCGGTCTGTCAAATAACAAAAGTTGCATAATCGGATAGGTGATACACGTCACAAAACCACAATCAATAAATTTCAAGTAACAGGTGCCCAAGAAGCCCGGAAATATTGGAAAAATACAATAAAACAGTGGTCATATAATTTGACGAAATGATTTCTTCCTTCAATTTATCAATTATCTTTTTTCCTCGAACAACTTGAAATTGATATAAGTACGTCGACATCATTATATCCCTAGTCATAAAATGAAATCAATAAATCTACCAAAAAATAAATTTCAATGGTAATAATACTGATCCAAGAAAATGATTAGGTCGAATATTAGGACTGTAATGGCAAGAGTAGTTTAAGATGTAGATGAAGACCCCTAGTTAGGATCAGATTAGGTCTAGAACCCTCAAGAGATTATGGCTTATATCTTTACAAAGTCGAGCAAATCAAACCAGCTCCTTTGACAGAGCCTGTCAGCTCATATAGTGACTGGTCTTCCAGGTGAAATGGCAAGAGCAAAATATTTTCAGACTGTGAAAACCAAATTCGAACTGCAGCGGGGCAGTGCACTATTTCTTTATTTTCTAAACAGAGACGAACATACTGTTCCTCTAGCTTCGTCGATTGATTCATCGCAATTTGAACTGGCTACCACAATCCGTCTCGGCATAATCACATTTCGACTTTTTAGAAGTCAGTAAGATATACATACGTCAGCAACGTATGACTTTTACTTTATGAAGCCCCAATAAAGCCTTCTTTGGAATTTTGTGGGCCTATACAATATAGTTTCTTCACAATCATAAGTCTCAAACTTCACAAGCACCGTAAACCATAAAATTTCAGCATCTGAAACATATCGTTTTAGAGCAATTTATCTGATCTTCAATGAATGTTTTGGACTAGGAGTTGATACATTTTGTTAAAAATCGTTCTCGTCTGACAACAGATTTAGATCAGGTGTATGGACTATGATACCAAGAGCAGTTTCAGATGTGAATGTGAATTGCCAGTACTGGCAGGGTATATCTAACTCACCATTATCGTTAACCATATCATCCCTGCATGATGTGCAACACCTCCAAGTGCGAATGTGACTACCGACCACTCAATCGAAAATAATGATTCGCCCAATCTGAAATAAATTTCAAAAAATTCAATTTATTATTTTCAGCACGACTGGAGATGATATTTTTTGAATTGACTGAATAATAATTTCATATTTTTTCACGTGAAAACATTTCAGGGCTATGCTTTCTTGTCTTCATCGAAATTATTTCGTCTAACTCACCCAAAGAACAGTTCGGCAACTGTGGGGGTTAAGAAAATGAATATTTTGAATATAAAGTTACTTGTTTGAAGGTGATTGACAATGTTTCATGAAGAAATTCACTAGTTCGGACGTTGTCTAATATATAAAATGATTTGAAATCCCTGAAACAACTAAAAAAGAAGAATTGAAAATAAATAGCTGTAAATAACAATTATATTAAGCAAAAATACCTGAAATGAAATAATAGTGAAATAAAATACAAGTAAAAGTAAAACAATTGAACAAAAAATAGAAATAGAGAAGTACAAAATATGAAAATAAAGATAAAAATAAAAAAGTTAAGAGATTTCAAGCCAAGTTAGTTCACGATGTTTCGATTGTTAGTATCCACAATCATCTTCGGCATCATGACTGGACTGATTTCTCTGAGAGATGACTATTTATGGGTCGTTCGAGTACTTTCACTTATCCCCGCTCTCCATTTTTTCCGCTTCACTGGTTCAGTGGGAGATGACCGTTTGGCGGTAATTGACCATTTTTCGCTTGATGATGGGTTTCCATATGTTGCGTATTTCTACGCTGGCTTGGACGAATTCGTTGTTGGAAAACATGTATGCGGCTTCCTTGAATTTTCTCCTAAACCAATGTTTCTCTCTGTGTAAGATCTCAGCTTGGGACCACTCGATGTTGTGTCGATTAATTTTTTTTAGTTGTTTCAGGGATTTCAAATCATTTTATATATTAGACAATGAAAGTCCGAACAAATGAAAATAAAGTTACTTCTTTAACATTCCTATACAGATGAAACGAGAGCCCAAAAACAGTGCATCCGTCACGCTATTTTGCCGGCCAAGACCTCATCGGTGGTTCAAGAATGAACCTTGAATTCATTGCAGGACTGAACTGTTCTCAAATGCCAAGTTTGAGTAGTTAATCCACGAATATCAAAAATTAACGTATCTCTTCAAAGCGGTCAGCTTGCAGTGCCGTTCCCATAGATGTCGTCTTTGTTTGGTGAGTTCACATTGCCATTCACTATCTAGGCTCGTCCTTCAAAGACACTTGAGGCCTATATTGAATTCGTGATTCTGTCTAGAACCATTGATGAAACCTTGGCAGGTCGATACAAGTGATGTCTGATGTTGAATCAAGAATGGTGTATTTTTGGGCTCCGGTTTCATCTAGTTGCCTTACAGTGAAAGACAGACGACGAATCTCGTTTGGTGGTTGATATCAATGCTTGGAGCTGATCCGCTTGGAGAGTCTTTTTCGTTTTCGGTTTTCGTGGATCGAGTCTTTTGTCGATCCAATAGATGGCGTCTTCTTAAGAGGTGATGTCATCACTGTTCAATGTACTCAATATACTTATATGAGTAAATTTATAATTTCAATAGGAAATTTACGCTATTGAATTATGTGCGGAGAGATTGGAAGAATCCAACCTCATACACAAGTCAATGAACATCTTCTCGGACAGTCAAGCGACGTTGGAAGCTCTTGGCTCCTACCGAGCAACTTCTAAATTGGTAGCAAATTGCCAAAAACGACTCTCCTCGATAGGAAGACTTAACAGATTGTCTCTGGTCTGAATTCCTGGCCATACTGGCCTGGAAAGCAATGAGGCTGCTAACTCCCTTGCAAGGGAGGGTGTTGCAAGCAGTTTCATCGGACCAGAATCTGATCTGTCATTGGCATCGCTTCAGATTTATGGACTTCTGCCAGAATTCTCCAGGACTGGCTCACCCCAAGGCGTTTATTCATCCTACGAAGCTTGATACCAAACAGTTATTGGACTACAGTAGAGATGAACTACGATGTCTAACAGGCCTTCTTAGAGGTGACTGTCATTTGAATCATCATATGCAGAGATTCGGACTGTCGGACGACAGTGTGATCTGACCTGAAAGGCCACTCACCATAAAAACTAATCGAGTGTGAATGGTAAATTTACGTTTCGAGGACACCCGGCGATTTTGCAAAAATTTTTGCGTTTACTTGCGTATTTTGATGCGTAAATTACGAATCCGAAGGAAAAAAGCGGCGCTCTCCCTTATTCACAAAGTTACGGCCCTTCAGAGTTTTGAAAAGGGCAACTTTTCAGCCTTCTTTTTCACTATTTAAAAACACAAGCATCCATACACTAGGTCACCTTTACACCTTATTCCTCCTTTTTTGACACTTTTCACTTCAATAATCAACAATTTTCCACTATAAAAATGTTAAAAAATGTATGGAGCTGCTTTTTGGTTACATATCACTGTATTTTACGTTTTTAAAGTTAATGGCATGGTTGGTACGACTGATGCAGTCCATATTCCTAAAGTAATTAAAATGTTTTTTACCTCCATTCTTTAGATCGTAAATTGGTTTTTGGTGGTGTATTAAGAATTTGATATAGTAGGCGACGGCAAATACCAACCGCTTTTTTCTGAAATGTCACTAGTAACTAACCTAAAAATAGAATAATGTCACCAGGAGAAGCATTCGTTTTTAAATTAGGTTTTTTATAAGAAAAATGTTCATTATTGAAGTGAAAAGTGTCAAAGAAGGAGGAATAAGGTGTAAAGGTGACCTAGTGAATAGATGCTTGTGTTTTTAAATAGTTTATTTTGTGAAAAAGAAGGCTGAAAAGTTGCCCTTCTCAGAACTTTGAAGGGCCGTAACTTTGTAAATAAGGGAAAGCGCCGCTTTTTTCTTTCAGATTTGTAATGTACGCATCAAAATACGTAAGTACACGCAAAAATGTTTTTCAAAATTGTCGGGTGTCCTCAAAACGAAAATTTACCAACCTAATTGAATATTATGTGAATATTACATATTTGTACAATGAAATAATTGTGTATAAAACTAAATCACCCCAATGTGTGATTCTGTTCTTTCCTCTTCACCCACATAGTGGTGTACGGATGTCTGAAGTATGCTGTATAATGTACAAAGAGATCATAACAAGTGACTACATTGTCTACAAGTAACATTCAAATATATCACTAATGTTCGGTGAATGGATTGTTAGGGATTTTGTACATTTCCTTCTTTCTCTGTATTCCGTACATGTCGGTTTGTCATCTGCTCGTATATCCAGAACTCTATGACGATGTCATGTTAGAAAAGCCACGTGTAAAAATATTCATTGGGACAAGAAGTTTAATTTACCTTCGCCAACACTATATAATTATCGGTCGGAGAACATCAAATATCTGTATCAAAACAAAGCTAAAGTGGAATCCTCAAAATGGCTAAAAAAGTATATGTCAATGCAGTCGAGAACTTCATAGGTATGACGGAAAATATAATTTATAAATTCCTACTATACTCTATAAATTCCTACATCAACTTCAATAACACAATTTTTCATACATTTCCCATTCTTTTTACATAATCTTCATCTGAATGGTACTATATACATAACTATCATTTCACCTGTTTACCATATTTGAACTCAGGAATGATTACTTCATAGTCACGAAGGCATTTTTACCTAGTTCTGTGGAGTTTATTGCTGTATACGATTATTTGTCCTCTGTATATGTACTTACAAATATTGTATTCTCATTTAATAATGTACCCAAATGATGAAAATTATTATTATTGTTACTATTCCGTTTTGATGCATCAAAGTTTCTACGTTCATGAATTACTTCACAAAAACATAAATTATTTTGTTGAAACTTACTGTTTAATCCTGATATGTTGTTCAACGCATACTTTCAGCTTTTGGTAAATAAGCCCCTGATTGAATTCTTCATAATTACCATTATTCCCAGTGTTTATTATCGTCTCGACATAATCAGCCAACAAACGCAGTTGAAACTTAATATGGACTGAAACATACATGCCTACGAGCACAATACAGGCAGCTGCATAAGCTTCTTCAATAATTACTAAGTAATATAGAATACAAAGCACTACTCCTGCTCTGCCACATTTATTTTTTGCTGTGTCCAGTACTAGTTCATAAGTGTATTCGAAGTAAAACAAATAAACTGGGGTGCACAATAAAGATATCACCAAGAAGATCTTCATTTTTAGTGGAATGAATTTGTATTCTCGTTGAATTTCATCAAATATCTCCCTTCTTGTCGAGTCCCAGGTCCAACAAAAAGTTTGAATGAGTTCAGGAAATGACTTGAATTTTTCGAAATATTTGAGAAGTATCCAGGTACCACCAATCCCCTGCAAAATGTAATAATGTAGAAAAAAATTGTCAATAAATTTGAACACAATTTGGACTGCAGATATACTTAGCTAATAAAAAAATGGCTTATGATTTTTTTTTACAAAAAGTGGTGCTTTGTCGATGTTGAGAGACAAATGGAGATCCGTTTATGCTTTGAGCAGGCAAGAAAATTTTTCCGAATGAATATGGTTCGATATTAGAGATGTGTAAAAATTATGGAGAAGAAAATCAATAAATTTATTTGGAATAATGTAATCGAGGAGAGCAGAGAAATTCTTAAGCTGCCGCGGGTGATATTCCTAAAGCATTCGACATTCACCATGATAGTTAATTTAGTGAATTTGAATCAGGTAAGTGATCATCGATGACTCTCTACTGGATATACTATCAACGTTGTTATTGCTAAGGAACCATAATGTCTCTGAACATTTTCCAATATACATTCCGAAACATATTGCTAATGTATGTTTTTTTGATACAGAAGTTCTATAATTCGATGAAGACCTGGTCAGAATTTCAGTTTGGGGTTACATAACCAAATTAATTCAATAATTCAGAATGTGAAAGTGAGGAACAGCTACTTTTACAGAAAGTATTTGACTGAAACATCCTGAGTGATTCCTTCGAGAGCAGAGTATGTTTTAACATATTTTAATCATACACTACTGAATTAAACCATAGGCAAGATGATATTTGGTAAAGACTGATGAAAACATGTCAGAGTATGTGATGTAACAAATACAGAACTTACAAAACCAACGCTTCAGAATACAAAAAATTGTTTGCTTGAAATTATTACGTAAAATGGAAAAGGTCTAGTTTTGAACCAATTTTAAAATATATTCGATATTGATTTCGACACTAAACTTCAGAAAGAGTGACCTTCAGTTTCAAAGATTTTGAGTTGGTGAATTCTGATAACAAGTAGAAATCGAAAAAAAATGGAAATAGAGTGTCAGACCTACCAAAATTGAATCAGCCCACCTCGTTTAGAACAAACATAAGAAACTTTCAATAATTTTCCTTTTATAATAATTTGATGATTGGAAATTCGGTTCACATGATTTCAGAAACTAGAAATAATCAGCTAAGAAGATCGAAATTTTTAACAAATTTCAGGAATATTTTCTTTTCATGTTTTGTCGATTGGTTCCTATGGGTAAGATCTTTCATGATGAATTTCTATTCAAAACTAAATATGTGGAAAATAGACAATTTTACATGAGAACTCTGTCGACTGAAGAATAGTGGAGATGGAAAATATTCAAAAAACTTTCTTTTCTTCATTTCGTGTTCTTTAGGAATCAGTTTTAGTCAAGACAAGGTTTCGAAAGCTCGAAAACAGAAAAAATAAGTAAAATAATTGGGTAGGAGTGTATCTTTTCAAGGAGGAGAGAGATCGACGATACAAACTTGAGGTAGATGCAATGCTGCTCCGAGGAATATTGGTATACCCGATCATTGTGGGAAAAACTGTAGTTGCAACTCACATAAAACACTCTAATGGACGATTCATTAAGTCTATGAGATCATTATGGATATAATATACTATACTATGTTGCTGCTATCTCAGTCTAGGACAATTAATACGGACTGGAGATACACGCAGCATCCCTTCAAGATGGTCTGAAGAACAAATACTAAAAATGAACCCATCCATATCCTTCTCATTTCGTTTATCAAAAATACCAAGATGAGGCGTTACAATTTTCGAAGGAGTGAAGAGATACAATTTTCGGAGGGGGTTAAAAATCTGGAAGTGATAATACATTCCAGTCTGACCTGATGGCGGAGGTAGTACTGCTACTGGCCAGGAAACAGAAACATGTTAGGATTTAACCAAATATGATTTACTCGTATAAGTTACACATAATGCTGGTTTGATCCATGTTCACCAAAAAACAGGTTCCAACTTGCTTGCTTGGGGAAAGTAGGTTTTAAGTGAGTAGACTGTTTATTGCAACCCACAAGGGTTCATTGTAACTCACACCCATTCAAACTTCACCAAATGAGTCCAGTTCTTCCAAGAAGCTGATTAGCTCAATTGGTGAGTGATTTTTCAGGTCAGATGACAAGAGTGAAACTCTGCGAAACTCTGAAAATCTGATTCAGTCCGCAGCAGAACAGATACAAAGCATGTGCGATGCTGTTTCAACCAAGCAATTGTGCTAATAATCATCTCGTATATCCAATAAATTTTTAGGTCCTGAGCACCAAGATATGTCGAAAAAACAGTCTTGCTTTGTGAAATACTCCTTCCAAGTAGGCGTTCCCAAGTAGGCGTTCCCATTGTATTTGGATCAACCCCACCATTAGGGAAAATTGGAGGAGATGAAGAAGACTATCTCAGGATCACTGATTCACACAACAGTAACATTTGAAACACACTTGAATCTATTTTCTTCAATCTTGTAATAACTGAAGTGTGCCAATTCGGACTGGAAATACACCAAGCTACAAGGGATCGGGCATAAGAGAAATTATGGAATATGTGAAAGAAGGAACACAGAAAGCGTGTCGGATTTTTTTGTGATATGTAGGGTTTCATGTCTGACGTTTTGTCTACATCTGTAATAGGTATTATTGAAGGTGATTAGACAACGGAAGAAGTGCTGTATTTGACCCCATAGAAAATACTAAATCGTTTAGGTATCAGATTTACAATTTGATTTCAATGGAGTCTAATTACCTGGACTGAACTGAACACCAAAGCCAATTAACGCGGCTAATAGGAATGCCATGCCCAACAATTGTCTGATAATAGATCGTCAAGCATAAAAACCTATCCAACAGAATATGATCGAAATACTTAGACAATAATTTCGACACCGATCAAATGACACCAAAGAACACTTTCAATATGAATTCTATGGTTGGGCCAAAAACCAAGAAGATGCTTGGCAGACAGGATGAAGACCGAACATGAGATTGAAGCTGGATCATACTGTACTAGTAGACACTACTGAAGTTATCCTTTTGGTTGATACACTTCAATTTTCCAGGCAATAGTTCATGCAGTCTTCAAATTATAGTGGAATATTAATTCAGGTCATCAACGAAATTACCGTAATCGGTTGAAGGAACTGGTGAACAGAAACATATTGTCTCTATACCAGGTGACATGACTCTCAGAAACCACAAAGTTTACTGTATTATCGACTTATTCTGGCTCTGAAGTGTAGTGGGAATACCTAAATCAATGGCATAAACCACATCGGTTATTTGGGTTACTGGGAGATATTAGAATACTGCATAAATTTATCTGAAAACACATGGTAATAAGTTTATGAAGGAATTGTTTCAGAGATTTCCAAAACTGCCTCAACAGAGCAGGGCTACTCCATCTGGTTGGATGAAAGAGCGATTTCTGCCTTGTTTTATAATGTGCTTGATTCATAATTCTGCCATTTGTTAGATTGGGTTACTATATCTTATACTGAGTAACATTTCGGTTGGAACATTTTTAATTAGGTGGTATTATTATTATAGTATATCCCTACAAGGGAGATTTTAGTTACAGGCAGTCCAAAAAAGGGACAGAAATAGCTCGTTATTTATGAACAGACAATTATGTATCAATTATATGATGTTGAAATTCTGCAATTTGTTAGATTAGGTTGGAACATTTTTAATTAGGTGGTATTATTATTATAGTATATCCCTACAAGGGAGATTTTATTTACAGGCAGTCCAAAAAAGGGACAGAAATAGCTCGTTATTTATGAACAGACAATTATGTATCAATTATATGATGTTGAAATTCTGCAATTTGTAACTTTTCAATTAAAACATTTTAATTAAGTATTATTTAATATTATAGTACATCTCTACAATGAAGATTTCAGTTGCAAAGGGTGTAAAAAAGAGAAAGAAGTATCTCGTTATTTATGGACAGACGATTCAAATTATCTGAAGGAAGCTTATTATTGAATTTCAAAAAAGAACGTGTACAAAGTGAGACAGGAAACAAGATTGTTGGAAGGAATAGCACGAAAAGTTGGAAGAAAAGACGTAATGAGCTCAGTGGCCGCAATACATAGTGTTTTCAAATTATCTTTCTATATAAATGGAATTTACGGGTACTCACCACTGGTTGCAGAAGGATCAAAGAAATGAAACGTTTGAAGCGAATAGGATCACTGCCGCTATATAGATAAATCATCAATACGACATTGCAGATTTCAGAGTAGAGGATGATAGACGACACCAGCCATTTTACGTATTTCTCTCTACAGACACCCACTCCGAAGGGCGTCAGCAAGAATGACAATGGATCATCTAAAAATGACTCGAGTTATAAACTAGCTAACATTATACTTCCTCTCCTAGAATCCTCAAACTCAATCCCCATAATATTTTTAGTTTTTTAAGTGAATCTGAAATGAATATATATTATGAATTTACATTTTCTCAAGTATTGAACTTGCTTTCAGTAAGGACTATAGTATGTTAAGAAAATACTTTTTATATAGGTTAGGTACACCATATTTGTAAAAACACATTTTTCGTTTTGCTAAACGAATTCAGATCATATGAAGTTGATCTAAAGTGAATTGATTCCATTACATCTGATGAGGTTTTACTTTCTCTTTCACAACAGAGAAACTAGTACTACAGAGTGTCACCGGGACAGATTTATCTCTTTCGATGACAAATTCGAAATTACTGGTCTGTCCCCTCTGGATCTATACGTTAATGGCCATGTTACGATTGCACACGGCTGGTATAAACTTCGAAGTAGGAATGGGTCAATTGAGGCTGAGCCTATGGCGAGAAGCGCTCACTGCGCAACCTCTACAGCAGGCAACCAGTGATGCAATCGTACCCAGGTTTGTGTTTAATAAACCCTACAAAATAAGAATAAAACAGAACACAGAGTCAGATGCATCAAATGCAATACGCATATATACAGACGACTCAGAAACCAAAGAAGGTTCAGGATGTGGAGTGTGCTACAGATCACTAAGCCTAAGGATTTAGTGAGGTATGGGAAATATACCAGCGTGGTTCAAACAGAACTGGCTGCTATCTCAATTGCCACAGAAGAAATAACCAGGAAAGGAATTTCTGGCAAAAAATAACAAAATGCACTGATAGCAGACAAGCCCTATTAGCCTAGAACCGACAACGTGTTACCTAAGGCCTAGTACTAGAGTGCCACCAAGATTTAGCTAAAGTCTTGGTGGATAATATCATTATCCTGAGGTGGACGACAGGAGTAAAGGTAATCGCATTGCCGACTCTTTAGCCAAGGAAGCGGCTGGACTAAGAATTTCAGGACCCTACGGCCTGATGACTTCGACAGTTGCGGAACTAGCCGAACGTTACACCCATGATCAATACCTGAAGAGATGGGATGAAATCAAAGGATGCAATCTTGCCAGGATCACCGTGGCAACCCTGAGAAGCTGTCGCCGAAAAACTATATAGCGATGACCAGGGAAAAATCTACGCGTAGCAGTAGGATTTCTGACTGGCCATTGTCAACTGAAAAAACCATTCCATAATATGGGGCTAGTAGACACACCTCTATGCAGGATGTGTGAACAGGAAGATGAAACTGTCAGGCATGTCCTATGCGAGTGTCAGGAGTTATCGTCAATAAAAGAGTATGTGTTCGGCGAGTTTCCTAGTGACCTGTCTACCTTCCTGGAAAGGACAGGATGGACGATGACCTAGGAGGATGTACAATGGGTCACATGTGGCCTAACTGCTGTGGGTCTACACTCACCCTCCCTACCCTACAGATACTATTGGAATTATAAAATCTGTTAGAAATTTTATCAAGTCCTTGGCAAAATGAACCAAGTGCTTACAAGAAAATATTGAAAATATCTTTCCCGAAACACAATGGAAAAAACCTTACGGCAATGTGCGTACAAACTTTTAAAGATCTTGGCGACACTACCTGTTTCCACATGTACCCCTGAAAGGACTTTCTCTTCTCTGAAACGCCTCAAAACTCATTTAGGAAACTCCACAAGCCAGGAACAACNCAAGCCTAACTAGGCTTATTCTGTATGTTAAAAACTATCAGTTGAGATAAAATTCGTTCGGTTATGAAAAGAGCGAAGGTGATTGAAATTAATTCAATTAAAAATAGCTACAAACAGTTTTCGGTAAGCCAATTATCATAGGCATGTTTGTTAATGAATTATATTTGATAAAAAATATGTTATCTGATGTGTGAAGGTCGAACTCACACGGTCTCCTCTACTATCTAGTTGTATACCTAACCGTAACATGAATGAAAATAATCAAAATAAACCATTTGGACTTTGAATAGATGTCAGGATTCTGATTTTTATTTATTAGTAGTACCACTGTAGGCTGCTCAGAAGAATCCCAGATCTGTGAAAATATAGAAATGTTTTGATGATGGGTGTGTTACAATCTAAGTAAAAATTGTCAAAGGCGTCACGAACAATATAAAATAAAAAGTGGAGAAATAAAATGCTACAATTTTTCTTCGAAAATATTTAGTAGCGTTCCTGGATAATATTTGATTCAATCCATAACGTATATTCGGAATACAAACTGAAAAGGAAATACTAGTTTTCGTATGTCTGAAAGTGGTTGACAAAGTTTCATGGTTAATTTTACTAGCTACGACTGCCATTGTCTTATTTGATTTGAAATCTATGCATTTAATTTTATTTGTTCTTTCATAGGACGTGTTAGAAATCACACGTTGAAAGGTAAGACCTCGTTAATCCTTAGCTCGTATAAGTTTTGACTTCTGAGGGTTGTCGTTTGTATGGGTGCGACAGCTGGTTAACGGAAAAAAAAACAGTTTTTAAAAACAGAAAAACAGAAAACAAAACAGTTTCCGAATTAAAGTAGATCTAATCCTTTCTAAAAAAATATTCCCGTTTCGAATGAACTAGAATCATAATGATTTCTATGGAAAATTCTTCTACCTTGAATTTTGGCGTGAGTGATTTATAAGGAAGTGAGTTGAAAACTGTTGTTCGTGTTCTCATACCACACGTTGCTCTTTTCAGAATTTCGAAAGGATATAGAAGTCTATTTTCATGTAATAATTTCGATGGTTTGAACAAATGTCATTCCATGACAACTCTTCAATGATGTTGGAATTTTCTGTCCTTGTTGTTTGGCCAACAAACATACTGTTCGTTTTTACAAGCATTTTGAAGGATTGTTTCATATATATCTTCAGAAATTATGTTCCATATGGAAATGTGGAAAGTATTTCCAATAATTTAGAGGATATTCGTCTGAAGATAATGTGTCTGAATTATATGAAAAAATCAAGAGAATAGGCTTTTAATCAATTTT